ATTGGGGCGCTGCAGGAAGGTGGACCACTGGCGGTTCTCCTTGTCCTTCTCCAGCTTGGTCTTGGTCACCTCCTCGTTGAGGGAGCGCAGGACATCGCTGGACATGCAGACGCCCGGCTTGGGGAAGATCCTATAGAAATTGACGCTATCATATGAAAGTGGTTAAAAGAACTCGTCCCTAACGCATGCCCATAAATAGGGAAGTCTTCTCAAGGGTGCTGGCGGGCGAAATGGGCTTAAATTGATTGGTACGCACCCGAGGACATTGTGCTCCTTGAGCACCTCAGACTCGCCGGACAGCACGGCAGCAATTTCCTCCTCCACCAGCTTAATTTCCTGCCTTTCGGACAGCGCCGAGCACGGACGATCGGGCAAATCCGGCAAGTAGAGACTCTCGATGGGAAGGGCTCCATCTTCTGCCTGGGCTGGTGCATCATGCACATCCACATCCCCGCGATTCTCTTCCGAATGCACTTCCGACACGGCTGGGCGACATTCCGCCAGGACATCCACATCCACGTCCACTTCCACAGCAGGAGCCGCAGTAGTCGCAGCAGCGAATTCCTGGGGTGGCGGGACGAGTGGCTCCGGTTCCGGAGTTCGGGCATTTGTGGTTTCCGTCAACTGGGACAGCGATGGAGTCGGCGATGGTGAAATGGTTGGCATTGGTGACTTGGTCAACGAACCCTCGCTCGTGGGAAACTTCCTTAGGCACTCGTAAGCGTCCTCCTCGTGCTCCCTGCAAGTGAATCCGTGGCCAAAAAGTGACCAGAATTTATGAACATAGGAATTAATTCCGCCACGTGCAATACCTGCGATGGAGCACTAGTTTCAGCGACACTCTAAGATTAATTATTCAGAACTCGGAAAAGTTGGAATACAAAATTATTTCAAACAAAATAACTTGCTTCTAAAATGGAGGGTACATCTACGGACGATGTGTTTTCGATCATAGTTTCTTGTGTACCTTCACTATAGAGATTTTGCTCTTGTAAATGTATTTCATTCATTAAATATTTCCAAGAAATTTTGTCTTACTCAGGAATCTTTTGTCTTGAACCATGAAAATTTGTCATTATTTTTTCCATTCCACTCCCGCGGACGTACAAGTGCGAGTATATTACCTTCAGCAAGGGTATAAGGAAACGTTCTTGGGATGTTGGACCGCTCAGCTGTGATAAATGGTCCTCGGTGGAGGGGACACAAAGAGCCGTAGCGAAGGAACCGGACAAGGGCGAGGACGAGGACGACCACGAGCAGGAAAAGAATGGAATGGAATGGTGTGGAGGGGAAGGGAAGGGAAGGGCAGCTCACCGGTAGACGCCAAAGTAGAAGACGCTGCCGCTGCTCATGATGAGGCGGTGGGCCGCGTCGTGGGTGAGGGGCGTGGCAGCCGTGTCATTGATGCGCACGATGATGTCCTCGACCCGGAGTCCAGCCTCGTCAGCAATGCTGCCCTCGGTCACCTATCGTTGGAGCATGTGGACATGTTTAGATCTAAATGCCTGTGCCTAGATACCGCTCGATTCAGATGCGGATGTGCTGATAGAATGGGTACGAGGCCAAGACAGCCGAGATACAATGGGATATGGGATGCAATGCGATAATGGCAGAATTTCTATTAGCCGCCAACGGCGACGTCGCGTGCTAAGTGAATAAAAATAAAACGCGCGCCAAATGTCAACAAAACAAAGACCAGCAGGCCCAGAGCTCCGAGCACACAATCATACAATCACGCACATCCAAGAGATCCGAAGACAATGCCCAAGTGGAGGGGGGTTACGGGGTTGGGGGGCTGGGGGCTCAGAACGAGGGGTGCTCGAGAAGAAGTGGCAGCTCATTAACGACACTTCAGTTAGGCGAGTCAAGTGGAATTAGCCATGTCTAACCACTCAAAATATTGCATTGTTTCGCCGGTTGGCAATGGATGTGCTAAATGATGCCTCCACAGATACACAGAGTTCCAATTTACAGACTAATTAAGATGGGATTAGTTTGCAGGAATATCCAATTCCAATCTGCAGCAGTTGTAGCATTTTCAAACGGCTTAAAAAACAAATGTGCGTTTACTGAAACTTTTTAGGCCAACATAAGTTCACAAAAGTTACAAAATGTCATTTTTAAAATGAAATACCCAGTGGACTAATCATTTGAATTTTATAATACAATTTATAGTTTAGGAAACTACCACATTTATATTCCGGAAATGTTTCAAAATGACCGTGTAAGAGAATATCATTTTAAAATTTGCATTTGCCAGCATTTATTTTCGCCTCTATAAATCAAAGTGAAAAAGTTGTTAAAGCAATAACAACTAAATACAATATAAGCTTTATGGCTTTTGTGGGTAATAAAGTACAGACAAATTGGCGCAAATTGAGCACATAAATTGTAGGTATTCATTTAAAATGCCTTTGACACTTTGTACGAAATGAGTTTCATCAAACTAATAGTTATGAGTGAATTATGTTTCGCCTTCAAAATGCGCAATATCTTAGAAAATGCGCGGTCCACCGCATTTCATTGTGTAATTCAGGCAGTTTTGTAACACTTCGTGGGCAAATAAACGCCATTGTTTTCGTTTCCGTTATGGAAAAGCGGGCTTCATAACCAGAAAGTCACGACACCAACTGCCAGGAGGACTTAGTAATGCAAATACTGCAAAAAAGTGGTTGGCAAAAGCAGGAGGAGGAGGAGGAGGAGGAGGATTTCACCCAACCAAGTCGAGGGTCTTTGCTTTCTCACCCAGGGGCCACTTGCATTTCACTTATGGTGGAGTCAATTTCCAGCGGTGAAATCGCAGGCAAAAAGCACTCGCCATCGTCGGAGGTTGCGAATATTTATAGAACACAGAGGCTTAGGGCTTAGCTGGGCTATACATCTATGTACCAGACTGTATGTGGCAAGCAGCGTGGTGAGGAGTGGTAGAGTAAACAGTGGTTTCTCAAAAGATTACCAAGGATTGTTTAGTGTTTGCAGAGCCAATATGTGGAGGTGTGTTGACCCATGCCTTAAAGTCAAAGGATGTGCTTTTTAAGTCGCTTACATGTGGGCAGGATTATTTAAAAGAGGAAAAAGAATCAGAAAATCAATCATAAATCAAAAAGAAATAAGTTAAGCAAGTTGATATTTTTGCGGATTTTTTGCCATCTGTGAATTTGTGAAGTTAATAATTCATTTACAATAAACTTCCTAATTTTGCGCATTTTTATATCATTTATATATAGCCCGAAGCACCATGCAAATAATGCAGCATATTATAAATTGATCGCAATTTAAAATAACTCGTGGCATAATTTATGTATGTAAAGCAAAAAACCAAAAAGTCAAAAGCAATTTATGGCCTCTTCCTTGACTCTGCGGCTTAAATTGATTTATTCATATCGAAGGGTTGGGACTTTTAAGCGCCCCTCGCATTTCGGTCATTTGTTTTATGCATTTAGCAGTTTGCCAATTAAAAATCGCATTTGTGTTGGATTTACGCCGATGTTGTTGTATTGCATTTCTGTTATTGTTGTTGGTGGCGATTGTCAACACAATGTTACAAAATGCGAGTGGCCAAATGCAATTTATGCACAAACAAAGGCCCAACTGCCAGCGAAACACAATTAAAATTTGAATAAGTTTATTGCCGCTGCCATTATGCGGCTCATTAGCGGCAAATGCATGGCCCTGTCGATTAGATAAACAAAAGCGAGAGGAATTACTTTAATTAACTAATTTGCCAATGCAGCAAATCCGAATGGACACACACGCATCGCGTTACGTAATTGCAATCGAACAAAATCAAAAAAGTATCTGATTCGAGCGCATCGAGTTAATCCAGTAGGTACATGCTGAGCATCAGTTCCACAGGTATGTGGCCAGCAGCCAGGTGAAAGAGTTGGGGCGTTGACGAGGGGAACCCATATAGATTTCGTTCTTTTCCCGAATCGGGCCTAACCTTAACCACCGTCAGCGGATAGTCGTAGTCCGCCCCGCCCACCAGACGAAAGCCCCAGGGCACATTATCAAATCGGCACATCTTAATGTCGAGCACCATGGTTCCTTGATTTATTCCGACTTTTTTTCGTTCGTTGCGATTTTTCCGATTTCTCCGATTTCTCTCGCGAATTTTCTTCAATTTCTTTTATTTTTCCTTTGCCTTTCCGGCGCTTTGCGGTCGCTTTGCGGCAAGAAGCGTGTGTTTCGAGTGCAGCACTGGCAACCAACTGTTGGCATCGCCGTGCGTGCAGCTCGACAATCGAGTGGCCATGGCGATGGCGATGGCGGTGGTGGTGATCGGAGCGATTTCGCACACTGCCGCCGGAGGAGCTTCATCGAAGCATACTTTCCTCCTGGCCACGACATGCTAATGAGGCTGCCACTCTGTCAGCCATCGGCCCGCGTTCCCGTGCCCCATTCGGTGTCCCCCTGTCCTCCCTACGGATTTCTGGTCGTAATCATAATCGCAATCGACAGCAGTCAGAGCCTCTTAGCGGCAATGTAACAGATTGGGCGAACGGGTTATGCCTTTGCAGTGGGCGGAATTTTGGCGGTGACTACACTGAGAACTATGCTCGAAGAAGCGGAATGCAACTCCCTTGGAGCTTCGCAATATTTCAAACAGAATTATCGAATTTCGAACAGCATACATTATAAGTGTTACTATATTACAAAAAAGAAGTTAGGAGCTAAATAAGATTTAAGGACAGTGGATTGCACAAGTTGGCAGTACAACTTCTTGGCCTATTTCCTGGAAATCCAGTACTCCAAGTACCAAAACAGCAGTGCACCGCTTTGCCATCGAAATTGGGAGAAGAGCTAGAAATAGAGCTTGCAATTATAGGGGAAGCCTCACCCAAAACATGGGTGGTCAAAGGACATCCAGTTGGCATGCCCGTGGGGTTTGCTGCTGCCACTGCAATGCCAGACTGCAAAAGAGGCCATTGAACTGCATCAGCTAGCATTCGATTTAGTGGTATAAATACCACTTGCAGCCCAGAGCATCCGCTGCAGATCGAAGATGTTTAGCCAGCACAACGGTGCAGTTGCTCAGGGCCGCCGGCTCCAGTCGCTGCTAATCGCAGCCATACTCACCGCCTCAATGGCAATGGCCACGCCAGGTGGTGGCACTGCTCACCAGTTGCTGCCCCCCGGGAACCACAAGCTCTGCGGCCCCGCACTGTCCGATGCCATGGATGTGGTGTGTTCCAATGGCTTTAATACGCTGCCAAGGAAACGTGGAAGCCTGCTGGCCAGCAACAACGACGTGCAAGGGGACGATGATGATGATGGCATGTGGCAAACACTGGACGGGGCGGGCTACTCCTTCAGTCCGCTGCTGACCAATCTGTACGGATCCGAGGTCCTGATCAAGACACGTCGCCACAGGAGACACCTGACCGGCGGCGTCTACGACGAGTGCTGCGTCAAGTCCTGCAGCTACGAGGAGTTAGCCACTTACTGTCTACCGAAATAGGACGCTTGGCCCACCCACCCACTCATTACCCACATGCATACACATACGTACCCTTGAACATGGCATTCCCACATACACATGTACACCCGTGCCCCAATAGCATTCGTAATCCAATTCGTAATCGCTTATTTATGCAGCACCAACTTTGACTAATGAATAAAAGTAGACAGTGCAAAAAGAAGAATTTGTGTGAGCGGCAAGGACAAGACAGTCAAAGGAAAAGTTCCAAGGAGGCGTAAATCGTTGTCAGGATGCTGCTGGCTCCAATCAGCTGGCTCTGGTGCTTGATGGCCTACTCCGGCCTGCCGGGCGCCCAGGCGCGGATTGGTAAGTATAGGTTAAGAATGGAGGTGGAAAAACGGGAGGAGTCGAGGGAACTTGGAGACCAAGGACTCATTTGGTATTCATAAATGCAGGGCTTAGCACGGCCTGGCTGTTTATACATAAATTGTTTAATTGGCTGACAGCAAAACGCCCACAAAGCCCTTCCGTTCCCCTTCCTGCCCCCCAGCAAACCACCCACAATTTTCCAATAGCCATTTGCATAAGTCAGCTTTGACATTGAATGAGTTTAGCCAGGCGTTAGAGAGAAGAGCCAACTCCGAAATGCACTCATCGCATCCTAACACAATTTGACAACCTGACTTTTGAGGATAACATGTGTGTGGGATCCAGACCCTAACCCGGCCCCGACCCAGACCCAGACCCAGTTTAAGTTCCTTAGGAGCGGAGCAGTATATAAGCCAGTTACTTTGGGCCAACCAACATCAGTTAGCTTCCGACCCGGCTCGACCCAACTTAATCCATTCGATCGTTAAGCAGCCCAAGCACTAAACCCATAACCATGTGCAAGACCTTGTCCCTCATCTCGATGGTGGCTGTGATTTTGCTGGCCAGCTCCACGGTGAAGTTGGCCCAAGGAACCCTCTGCAGTGAAAAGCTCAACGAGGTGCTGAGTATGGTGTGCGAGCAGTATAACTCCGTGATTCCACACAAGCGCGCCATGCGTAAGTTCTTACCAGATTGGAGATCCTCCTGCTGGCCTTGCTAGGTCGACATCCACATTGTATCCATGATATTTCGCAGCCGGTGCCGACAGCGATCTGGACGCTCTCAATCCGCTGCAGTTCGTGCAGGAGTTTGAGGAGGAGGACAACTCGATCTCGGAGCCGCTGCGAAATGCCCTCTTTCCCGGCAATTATCTTGGGGGTGTCCTCAATTCCCTGGCAGAAATCCGAAGACGCACTCGCCAAAGGCAAGGAATCGTGGAGAGGTGCTGCAAGAAGTCCTGTGATAGGACGACCCTGCTGGAATACTGCTCCGTAGTCAGAAATTAGGCCTCCTGATGTGAAGATCTTTTCCCTAGCGCACCTGCTCGACGCGATCATCTCTGGATCTGGTTCCAAACCAACCATGTGCATTTATACCACAATCGATGTTTTTATAGCTTGTTGCATGTTACTCTTTATGAATGAAACGAAGGAAATATATATTCTGCTTTAAGCTTTGCATACAATAGCAAATTCTGCTGAAACTGCACATTATTCTTCATTTGGGACGTTGAATTTATTACTATCATTATATTTACAGAACACAACAAGTATCATTTAAAACTACTTGGATATTTTTACACCCGTTCCAATGTTCCAAGGCTGAAGTTCCAAACTCCATAACTCAACTTATCCTGATCGGATTTTGAAGTGGCATACCTCTAAATGGTTCTGGCGCAATTCTCTAAAAATATGCATTTAAATAAAATTTTTTTTTTTTTTTAATTTTTTTTTAATTTTTTCGGTGTATGATGTAGAAATTCACAAAAATCAAAAAATGCCTCATTGCTGAAGTTCTAAACTCCATAACTCAACTTATCCTAATCGGATTTTAAAGTGGCATACCTCTAAATGATTCTGGTGTAATTCTGTAAAAATCTGCGTTTAAATTTAAAAATTATTTTTTTTTTCATTTTTTTGTAATTTTTCCGGTGTATGATGTTGTAGAAATTCACAAAAATCAAAAAATGCCTCATGGCTGAAGTTCTAAACTCCATAACTCAACTTATCCTAATCGGATTTTGAAGTGGCATACCTCTAAATGATTCTGGCGCAATTCTCTAAAAATCTGCATTTAAATAAAAAAATTTTTTTTTTTTAAATTTTTTTTTTAATTTTTTCGGTGTATGATGTAGAAATTCACAAAAATCAAAAAATGCCCTATGGCTGGAGTTCTAAACTCCATAACTCAACTTATCCTGATCGGATTTTGAAGTGGCATACCTCTAAATGATTCTGGTGTAATTCTCTAAAAATCTGCATTTAAATTAAAAAAAAAATTTTTTTTTAATTTTTTTTGTAATTTTTCCGGTGTATGATGTTGTAGAAATTCACAAAAATCAAAAAATACCCTATGGCTGGAGTTCTAAACTCCATAACTCAACTTATCCTGATCGGATTTTGAAGTGGCATACCTCTAAATGGTTCTGGCGCAATTCTCTAAAAATATGCATTTAAATAAAATTTTTTTTTTTTTTAAATTTTTTTTTAATTTTTTCGGTGTATGATATTGTAGAAATTCACAAAAATCAAAAAATGCCTCATTGCTGAAGTTCTAAACTCCATAACTCAACTTATCCTAATCGGATTTTGCAGTGGCATACCTCTAAATGTTTCTGGTATAATTCTCTAAAAATCTGCGTTTAAATTTAAAAATAATTTTTTTTTTCATTTTTTTGTAATTTTTCCGGTGTATGATATTGTAGAAATTCACAAAAATCAAAAAATGCCTCATGGCTGAAGTTCCAAACTCCATAACTCAACTTATCCTATTCGGATTTTAAAGTGGCATACCTCTAAATGATTCTGGTGTAATTCTCTAAAAATCTGCATTTAAATTAAAAAAAAATTTTTTTTTTAATTTTTTTTGTAATTTTTCCGGTGTATGATGTAGAAATTCACAAAAATCAAAAAATGCCTCATGGCTGAAGTTCCAAACTCCATAACTCAAATTATCCTAATCGGATTTTAAAGTGGCATACCTCTAAATGATTCTGGTGTAATTCTGTAAAAATCTGCGTTTAAATTTAAAAATTATTTTTTTTTTCATTTTTTTGTAATTTTTCCGGTGTATGATGTTGTAGAAATTCACAAAAATCAAAAAATGCCTCATAGCTGAAGTTCTAAACTCCATAACTCAACTTATCCTGATCGGATTTTGAAGTGGCATACCTCTAAATGTTTCTGGAGTAATTCTCTAAAAATCTGCATTTAAATAAAAAAATTTTATTTTTTTTAATTTTTTTGTAATTTTTCCGGTGTATGATATTGTAGAAATTCACAAAAATCAAAAAATGCCTCATGGCTGAAGTTCTAAACTCCATAACTCAACTTATCCTAATCGGATTTTGAAGTGGCATACCTCTAAATGATTCTGGCGCAATTCTCTAAAAATCTGCATTTAAATAAAAAAATTTTTTTTTTTTTAATTTTTTTTTTAATTTTTTCGGTGTATGATGTAGAAATTCACAAAAATCAAAAAATGCCCTATGGCTGGAGTTCTAAACTCCATAACTCAACTTATCCTGATCGGATTTTGAAGTGGCATACCTCTAAATGTTTCTGGTGTAATTCTCTAAAAATCTGCGTTTAAATTTAAAAATTATTTGTTTTTTCATTTTTTTGTAATTTTTTCGGTGTATGATGTTGTAGAAAATCACAAAAATCAAAAAATGCCTCATGGCTGAAGTTCTAAACTCCATAACTCAACTTATCCTAATCGGATTTTGAAGTGGCATACCTCTAAATGATTCTGGTGTAATTCTCTAAAAATCTGCATTTAAATTAAAAAAAAATTTTTTTTTAATTTTTTTGTAATTTTTCTGCTGTTCGATGTTGTAGAAATTCACAAAAATCAAAAAATGCCCTATGGCTGGAGTTCTAAACTCCATAACTCAACTTATCCTAATCGGATTTTGAAGTGGCATACCTCTAAATGTTTCTGGTGTAATTCTCTAAAAATCTGCATTTAAAATAAAAATTTTTTTTTTTTAATTTTTTTGTAATTTTTCCGGTGATGATATTGTAGAAATTCACAAAAATCAAAAAATGCCTCATGGCTGAAGTTCCAAACTCCATAACTCAACTTATCCTATTCGGATTTTAAAGTGGCATACCTCTAAATGATTCTGGTGTAATTCTCTAAAAATCTGCATTTAAATTAAAAAAAAAATTTTTTTTTAATTTTTTTTGTAATTTTTCCGGTGTATGATGTAGAAATTCACAAAAATCAAAAAATGCCTCATGGCTGAAGTTCCAAACTCCATAACTCAACTTATCCTAATCGGATTTTAAAGTGGCATACCTCTAAATGATTCTGGTGTAATTCTGTAAAAATCTGCGTTTAAATTTAAAAATTATTTTTTTTTTCATTTTTTTGTAATTTTTCCGGTGTATGATGTTGTAGAAATTCACAAAAATCAAAAAATGCCTCATAGCTGAAGTTCTAAACTCCATAACTCAACTTATCCTGATCGGATTTTGAAGTGGCATACCTCTAAATGTTTCTGGAGTAATTCTCTAAAAATCTGCATTTAAATAAAAAAATTTTATTTTTTTTAATTTTTTTGTAATTTTTCCGGTGTATTCACAAAAATCAAAAAATGCCTCATGGCTGAAGTTCTAAACTCCATAACTCAACTTATCCTAATCGGATTTTGAAGTGGCATACCTCTAAATGATTCTGGCGCAATTCTCTAAAAATCTGCATTTAAATAAAAAAATTTTTTTTTTTTAATTTTTTTTTTAATTTTTTCGGTGTATGATATAGAAATTCACAAAAATCAAAAAATGCCCTATGGCTGGAGTTCTAAACTCCATAACTCAACTTATCCTGATCGGATTTTGAAGTGGCATACCTCTAAATGTTTCTGGTGTAATTCTCTAAAAATCTGCGTTTAAATTTAAAAATTATTTTTTTTTAAATTTTTTTGTAAGTTTTCTGATGTAGACATTCAAAAGAATTTAAAAATTTCGCAAGGGTGAAGTTCCAAATTCCATAACTCAAATTATCCATTATTTTTCAATTAAAACTTTATTCATTGGGAACGAAAAAAAAGAAAGTTCATTGAAAAGAAGAAAGTGCTGAAATCTCAAAAAAAAAACGGCTTACTTTTAGTTTTTAAAATAGTATTTGTACTTGCGGTACAGATTTTATATAGCAAAACAAATATTTTTAAAATTTCAAAAACATTTTGAAATAAGGAAATAATAAATAGCTCAAAGATACTAAATCAACACGATTCACGTAGATCTTCAAAATTACGCAGATACAGTCATACGTGCAAGGAACGTAAGTTATGCAAATAAATGATGTCTTAGCTCAAGATCTTTTAAATATCTTAGAGGCTTTAAACACCAAAATCCAGTTCAACGTAGGTTTTTCTATACTAATTCTTTTATGACATTGAATGGAAATACACTTAAATACACTTTACAATCGGCAGAGTTTGTTGAAAAATGGCGGCTTCCTTTTCAACATAGTTGCAAACAGAAATCCGGCAGCTGTTCAATAAATAATTAACTGCAATGAACGACAATGAAAAATCAATGTAATACCCGTTTAATTACCAATCAAGTTGGCCAATCTGCAGCAGTTTGAATACATAATTTATTAATATATTATTAAATAATTTATACCCAGGCCCTGCACATTATATCTACATGCATAACATCCCGTGTTCCGATTCATTTCGCGTGCCTGTCTCTGAATTGCGATCATAAATTATGCGCATACATCCCAGTTACATGTGCATATATATCATAAATCCGAAATTGGAATTGGAATTGAGTAGGCTTCGATAACGACTTAACCACTATGAATACGTGAGTGCTTTCCCCAGGCGGGGAAAGTCCTTTCAGTCCTTTCCAGTCATCGCAGGTGTCGTCAGTGGGCTAGTTCCATGGGCTTACGTTCTGGGCTTGACAGCACAATACCTCAGCACCTCATCCCTGGAGCACGACTTCAGACAGCACTCGTCGAAGACTCCATCCCGAAGACGTCGGGTCTTGAGCATCTGCACCGAGCTGTCGCTCAACAGTCTTTCCAGCAGGGAGCGGTCTTCGAATCCATCGACTAAGTTGAAGTTCACGGGGTCTACGGGTGTTGGGTGAAAGCATAAGTGCATATTCAGATACAATTTATTTTTGATCAGAACCGATCCTCACACCTACCCAAAGTTCTCTTGGTCATGGCGTTGAAGCCATACACACAGAGTTTGGACAGGGTTTCGGGCAGCTTACGGCCGCACAACTTCATGTTGGCCTGGACGCCGCCGATCATGAGGATGAGCAGGAGCAGGCTGGGTAGCAGGATCCTCCTGCCCTGGCGCCGCCTCATCTCGATTCCCATGGGTGATGGAGTGGTGCTTGAGTATGGATACGTGAGTCCCCCGGGCAGTGTGCTGTATGTCTGCCAAGTGGCCCGGCCTCAACTGTTGGGCTTCCAGTCATCGGCAGAGGATTATATATGGTGCGAAATCGGATACGATCCGAGTTGGATGTCAGCTGGTTGTATCCAGCGTCTGAGCACTGTCAAAGTGCGTTAGCCGTAGTGTCAGTTAGCTCTGGTCTGGTCTGGTCTGGTCTGGCGTGGTGTGGTCTAGTTTCTCGTCCCGATTTGTTGTTATTGTGTGGGTTGTTATTTATCCTTCGGGCTGGCGTGGGATGTCTGAATGGCGGAATGGTGGCTACGCATATCAGCTGGCGTTTGTTTACGTTCTCGCCCAAGAAGTAGCGCACGGATCTGGATGGCTGGAAAACAAAATGACGTGCATCGCGTTCCCTTCGGCACATGGGGGTGTTCATCCATTTCAGCTGGCTCGGAAAGTTTAGCTGAAAAGTTCATAAACTCCCATTCAGCGGTTTAGCTATAGTTCTATGCATGTTAAAGTTCACATTTGCTAAGTGGCGTTACTGAAAGCAGATATACATGAAATAATTTAAGACCGGAAAATATTTGGAATGAAAAATTGTTGATGTGAGTCTCATAAACTAGTTTAAATTTAATTAAAACAAAAGCCATCACATTTTATGGGGACTTTTAGAGCTTCTCGAAACGAGTCATTCATGCTCATTCAATTAAAAACGAGTGCCAACTTATTCAATTGCTTTTGAGTGGAAAACAATAAAGTCGCCTTCTGCTATCTCATTATCTTGGCTTAGTACCTTCGATACTTTATGGTTTCCCCAAGTCCCTTTTGGCTAATGATAAGCCAACTGAGCCGTTCCGTCCGCGAAAAGCAGGTAGATTAGTACCTGTAAGCCCGGCATTATTATCATTTCAAACCCTTCGCTAAATAGGGTATTATCTGTGGAAAATGCCGCTGCTGATTGGAAGTTGTTTACTTGTTGTGATATCGCTACTTCGATAATAACTCAAAGTTGGGACAAAAAGTTGGGACAGAGTGTATAACACAGTTCGTTTTGTCTCCAACTTTTGTTTTGCTTATTAAGAGCCGAACGTCATCTAATTAAAAATTCATATTTTTCATTATTGTTCTCGGAAAACAAGGGCACCGCACTCGAGGTACTGAATGGGTGGTTTTGGGTGGATAATCCGGGATTCCCCATGCCGCACAGCTGGAATGCCGCTGGCGGAGAAAGGAAATGAGGAAAAAAGCAGGGACTCTTCTTTTGTTTGCGCTGCTGCTTGGAGAGTAACTTTATTTGCCTCCACTAGAAATTTTACAATGAAATATTTGGAAATACGATTACGTTTATAGTTAAGGGTTAAGTGTAGTAGGAAAATGAATTGCAAAATGCCTGCCGTTCGCGTGTTGCTCCCTGCCGCCACAAAATCTCAGCCCTGACGGGTTCATCTGGTGTACGATTTATGGGATCTGGTTTGTGGGATCTGTTTTGCCATCCTGGCCATCAGGCGCAGTAGTCCAGTATATCGTCGTAGGTGCAGCCCTCCTTGCAGCACTCGTGGGCGATGCGTCGCCGGTGGCGTCGCAGCTTGCGTCCACTGCCGCCGGCCGGTGGCTCCACCTTCTCCATATCCGTATCCGCATCCGCATCCTTCTCCTTCTCCTTATCCTTCACCCTTCCCAGTTCCGTTGCGCGTTCGGTGTCCTCGTCCGGCTGCTGGAGCTTGCGGATTAGCTCACGCACCCTAGCATCCTTTGATGCTTGTCGAAAAGAGGTTAGATGGGCGCCAGTGGAATATGCAGAGTATCCGAACTTACCACTGCTCCGCCTGACCCGGCGTGTAAATCCATTGACACAAATCACATCCAGTGCCTGAATCAAAGCCTCGCCGCACATCTTCCGGCGTCCCTGGACCGGCTGCAGCAACTGCGACACGGTGGCCAGCAGGAGCAGCAGCGCCAGTCCCAGTCTAATCAGGCTCATCCTGCTCGATCTTTCACTCCGCCGTCCGTGCTCTCGCCGGGCATAAAAGGTATGCCTCCTATGTCTCTGGTATTCGGTCCTATCTCGAACTTCTCGTGCTCTTGGCAAACCGATCGCTGGGCATGCCAAATGATACTGATCCCTGGCGTTGGCCGGTGCCTAAAATGTTGCCTCGCTAATTGACTTTTTGGCTTCACGTACTCGGCCAGGTAGAAAGCAGAGCCGGGCCAGGTCAGTCAACCAGTCAGCTGCAGGAGATCCCTGTGTACATCCAGGTTTTTCTTATTTTTGTCGCTCGACCAGCCGGCGGGCAAATGCCCGGCGCAGGAAAATGGCTTTTCCCGGCCAGGAATTGCCCGACTTAGCCAAAGTCAAAGTCTAATCTCGATCCTTACTCTACGGAGGGGAAATACGCACGAAATTCGCCAGGGAATGCTAATTTGTTGTGTAAAACTGGGATGTAGATTAAACAAAAGTGCTATTTTTATAAACCAGACAGATTTTTATTTGATGACAAGTATACCATTAAAAGCTGATAAGGTTTACCTACCTGATTCTACTTGTTTGCTGACAGGCTACTTCTGGCACATAAGTGACCTCCACCTGGACACGCTGTACTCCACGCAGGGCGACATCTACAGGAGCTGCTGGGAGCTAGCACGATCGGTTTCCGGCTCCAATGCCAACAGTGCGGCATCGGAGCCACCTGGTCCCTTTGGCCACTACAACTGCGATAGTCCGTGGAGTCTGATTGAATCGGCGGTGAAGACGATGAAGGCCAAGCAGGGCGACAATGTGGAGTTCGTCCTGTGGACAGGAGATGCGCTCTCCCACTCCGCTCAGCCGCTCTCCGAGCAGAAACAGCACGAGATCCTGCGGAACATCACGGAGTTGCTGGGACGCAGCTTCTCCTCGCAGTTCATCTTTCCGGTTTTGGGCCACGAGGACGGCAGTGGCAGCTATCGCAGACTGGGCGAACTGTGGCGCCACTGGCTGCCCTCCGAGGCACTGGTGACCTTCGATCAGGGCGGCTACTACTCCATCGAACAGACCAAGAGTCGTCTGCGCATTGTGGCTTTGAATACGAATTTCATGCGACTTGATCCCGATCCGGATCCCAGGGCATCGCTTAGTCTGCGATGGCCGGCTGAATATTTCGCCGAGCCCAAGGCATCCGTGAGCTCCATTTCGGCAGAGGATGAGCTGCTGGCGGAGCAACAGTGGCTCTGGCTGGAGGAGGTGCTCACCAAGTCCAGAGAGAAACAGGAAACGGTGCGTATAAACTTGAACTTAGTTCTATTATAAACGATGCCTGCTGAGAAACCGATTTTTAAATCAGACCCAAATTTAATTTAGTGAAAAATTGTATGCGAAAACTTGCGATTTAATGTTGGCAGCTCGTAAAGCCAATGTTTTTCATGAGAATTAACGTGATAACGCGGTGCACATGTAAATATTCCATATTTTTGACCTTTTCGCCTTGACCCAAGGCTATCGCATGCCAGTAAATCCAATCGGATAGCATGCTGCCCTTTTGATTAATTATAATATTTAATTTGCAACAAGGATTGATTTCATTTCACTGAACCGACTCTGTTGACTCTCGTCCCATCCAGGTATATATCGTGGGCCACATGCCGCCAGGTGTTGATGAACGTCATCTGGGCACCCAGCACAACCAGTTGACTTTCACGGAGCGCAACAACCAGCGCTACCTGGACATGGTGCGTCGCTTTGCGCCGGTCATCCAGGGTCAGTTCTTCGGCCACCTCCACTCGGACACCTTCCGCCTGATCTACGATGCCAAAGGTTCAGTATTAGTCCGACCATTGGTGCACATGAGTTTCTACAGATCTATGCCAATACCTTGAAGATTACTACTCTTTACATTGTTGCTCACAACTAATCATTCGCTTCCGCTGGCAGGCATTCCCATTTCGTGGCTGATGATTGCCCCATCGATTGTGCCCCGCAAGGCGGGCATCGGCTCATCGAATAATCCCGCCCTGCGGCTCTACAAGTTCGACACGGGCAGCGGCCAGGTGCTGGACTACACGCAGTTCTGGCTGGACCTACCACTGGCCAACCGGGCCAACGAGCCCACCTGGCAGCCGGAGTACAACCTGACGCACTACTACGCCCTGCCGGAGATCTCCGCCGGAGCACTGCACAATTTCGCCGAGCGCTTCACGGGCACCGACCTCTCCTGGTTCACCAGGTAATGCAAGTGGATGTATAGGCGTGTTGATTGAGTTGGCCGGTAATCCTTGGAGCTCACAGATGGATTTGATTCTGCGGGCCACAGATACAAGGGGAAATATTGTTTGGGTATCTGGGCACAAGTAAATGGATAACTTCCAGCTGTAAACCGCTGGAACGACTTTAAAACTGAGCATTCGAAAATTAAGCTGGCCTATTTTGATTAGGTTTTTTTTCTGAAACTCAATTTAACGCTTAATTTACCCATCTGAAGAAAACCAAAAAGGCGGCGCATTTTTTTCTGCAAAAACCAATTTAACTTTAATCGTTTACCGGCTGACTCATCCAATTTGTACGCAAAATAAACCATTTAAAAATCAAATAAATCGTATTATTTCCGTAAACCATTTCGTTTGTAATTGCCTAAAAAATGGTAGGCCTCTTTTTACTTTTTCCTTAATCCGATACCCCTTTACGGCCCAGTTATCACTTCACAAAGTCCGTTGGCAAAAAATAGTGCTAGTTTTATTGTGCAAGCTGTTTAAATAAAATAAATCCGTTTAAAAATTTAAATCCGCTGAAAACGTTTGTTCGCAATTATAATTTTTTATCACTCATTGCGCATTTCGCAGATATTCGCAGTATCACCCGTATCACAATTGACTTAAATATTATATCAGCATTTTTTATTGATCAATAAGATATACATTTATAAATAATCCATTGGTAGTTGGGAGCAAAAACATTATTAAAAGCGGTCTTATGTGGAACGGATCGCACTGCGTTCAATAACTTCATTTCAAAAAACAATTTTTATTCATGCGGCACATAAACACTCTCCATTACTGAAAACCGCAACTGCAGACCATTTTTTAGAGCACAATTTA